CCAGCCTGCACATCGAAACGTTGCCAGTTCAATTCCCAGTCAGGGCACATGAACAATGATCTCTCAAACACTGATATTTCTCTCCCTCTCTTGTTTTTCTCCCTCCCTTCCCCTCTCTCTAGAAATGAGTAAATAAAATCTTTTTAAAAATTAAAAACGATAAATAAACCCTTTCTAAGTAGGGGAGCGGCTAACAGTCAGGGAAGGCTTTCCACCTCCCAGCACTGGTCTGCACGTCCCAGACCCTACACTCAGCCCATCACGGTGGGTTCCAGCATCACCCACTTTACAGTAAGAGAAAACAGAGGAGCACAGACCAAGCTGTATGCCTCGGCGCTCACAGCCCGTAAGCAGCAGGGGTAGGATCAGACCAGGGCTGCCCTGCAGAACGCCAAGGCTTTAACTCACGACCCTACATTGCAAACACAGGCAAGAAGCCACCACCCCCAAGGACACCAGGCCAGGAAGCAGTCTTGCCAGCAGACAAAGGGCAGGACAAGAAAACCAGGGACACAAAAACTGGACCTAAAACTGTGCCCTGCCAGCTCTGCTGAGGGCGTCTGCTCTTGCTGCGGGCCAGGGGCCTGGCCCTGAGTGGGTATGCCTTGGGCCAGCTGTAGTGTGTGGGTTCTTGATCTTGTATAGGAAAGATATTACAACATGAGTCCAGGTGACCATGAAGTTACACTTATTAAAGCTGAGGACAGTAGGACAAGGACAGGCTTAGCACAGAAGAAGCAACAGGAAAGCCCAGGCTGAGCTGCCTTAGCTCACTGGGAAGTCAGAGACAAGGAGCCCTTGAGGAGAGGTTCGTAGGATTAGCCTGGTACAAGCCGCCAGCTGCCCCTTGCCTAAGAGTTTAGGAGACTGTGCCTCCTGGAGAAAGAAGCACAGGAGAAGGGAAAGGAAACAGTGTAGGTTGCAGGTTGTCCCCAGAGAGAGTGCACACTGGGTCCTTTGTCTTGAGGCTTTCATCTCTCTTTTGCCGGCAGGAGGCTCAGGAGAGGCTTCAGGGGAGAGTTTCAGCAGAATATTCACCAGTCTTCCGGCTGTGCCCTTTGAGTGTCATGGACTCACTGATTGGTCAGTGACAGGGCAGGGGGGCCTTCAGTCATTGCAATTGGCCCTGGCATTGCCCGCCTGGTTTTGCAGCTTTTCTGGCCCTGGAGCTGAAGTACAACTGAGGCCTAGATGTCATCTCCAGGGAGGAAAGGCCAGGGGAGAAGCAGTTACCCTGGGGTGAGGTCCTGATTTCCCCAGTGCTGCCCCCTGCCAGGCACTGGGGCCTTCTGCCCTGGTGACCACCTGCACCTGGCTATAAGCTGCTCAGCCACTGTGTTCAGCTCTCTGTCTCAGTTTCCCTATTCCATTTGCCAAGGAATTTTCCTAGCTTCTCACCATCCTGTCTCACTTTTAGAGAGAAGAACTCAAAGCCCGGTACCAGCGCCTGCTGTGCACGCACAGGGAGCAGACCCGACCCCGGACAAACACCCCACTCCCTCCAGCATGTCTTGTTCGGTCTGCATGTTCCGGCGGGGAATGGAGGGAAGAAATGACTGGGTGATTACGTCCAGATTTCCGCACTGAAAGATTAGGGCAACACAGGAACTACTACAAAGCCTCGCTCCCAGAAAGTATACGGAATCTGCTGGTTAGATTTGTACTATCCATGATTTCAATGCTCTGACCAAGATCACGAGAAGAAAAACCAGATGCCCAGAGTGCGTCACCCCCTCACTGCCCTGCCGCCTGGCCACTGGCCTCACCCAACTTGCCACTCCTGGTGACTGTGATGAGTGAACAAGGCCACTGACCAGCCACATGTTCAGGGGCCACACGCTGAGGAATGGGGCAAAGTCCCCTCCAGCCATCTTTCTAAAACCCTACTCCCAGGAACTGCCTAAATCATTACATCTAAAGGGGGTTCTTATCCATCCACTTCTCCATTCACCCAAGGTCCATACACACATTTCTGTAATGGCTAGGAATGGGTGACTTCAGAAATAATTCTTTAAAACCAACTTCTAACCAGCTGTCTGGCAGAAGCCCTCCAGAGTTCTTCCTAAATGTACGTCCAAGTAGATGTCATCCCATCTCGTTCCCTGCACTATTGTGGGGACAAGGTGGTGCGGTGCAGGAACACCTGGACTCAAATCCCGGCTCTGTGACTTCGGTCAGGCACTTGGCGTCTCTGAGCCTCAGTCTCCTCCCCGTGACGTGAGCAAACCTCCCACCGCACACAGCATGCTGAATAAGCGGTGCTCTTCTTCCTGTATCATGCCATTGTCATCATTTTTCTGGTGCACACTGAAGACTGTTTTCTTGCTTCCCACTTTCAAAGTCCCTTTCAGCCCAAAGGTGGAAAATTGTGGCCTATATTTATTTCTAAATGTGGTCCTGCTTTTTGTTGTTGTTGCTGTTAATTTTTTTTTAAATCCTAGGTATTTTTCATACCTCTGCCCCACACACCCTCCCCAAACCCCCTACCCTCAGCATATAATTTATGATGCTATCTTTGCTGATACATCTGTGGTTTTGGTACTAGTGGTCACATACAATTTTTAATGAGTTTTTTAATCACCCACTTAGAAAATGTAAAGTCCAATCTCTTTCTTCAACCCCTCTGCTCTGTAAAAGCACTTGGAGTTAAGAAATGACCCGTCTTCATGGGGAAATCTGGGAATGATGGGTTTGCAACAGGATTCAGTACATGAACAGGAACTCACCACTCTGAAGGCTCCCTTTAGGCTGTGAAGTTTATTGCTGTTTCAGGCAGTTAGGAAAGAACCTCAGCAACAGTAAATAACTCTCGTGTTCGTGTAAGAGAATAATCTAAGCCTAGCAGGAACCCCACAGAATTTCACTTTCTTTCTTGGGTAAGAAGCTGCTACATAAGAAGGAAAGGATTTCTTGGTTTAGGTGTTAATCCTATACTGTATCTTTGTTTGGCCTTAAAGATTTCTTTTCAGTTTACTTCAGCTGATATGCATTGAAAAAGCATCCCAGGTCTCAAGGTTCCTCCAGAGCAGGGTACTGAACAGGTGGTGCTCAAGATTTATTCTAGACCAAGTCCCAGCTTGTGGTTTCTGATCTCATCATGAGTCAGCACCAGAGGAACCTCCTAGCTGTGGTGAAAGCAGGAGCTGAGCCCCAGACCAGACACACTCAGTAAGACGCCCCATGGCGTCACGAGGTAATCGATGGGGAAAGAAACACAGACTGTCGAGGCTACAAACTTTGTTTCTCCTTCTTTTTGTTTAAAGAAAGGGAGAGAAGCATCAATGTGTGGTTGCCTCTCGCAGCTCCCAGCCCAGGATCAAGCCCACAAGCCAGGCATGTGCCCTGACCGGGAATCGAACTGGTGACCCTTTGGCTCACAGGCCAGCACTCAATCCATTGAGCCTCAGCAGCCAGGACAGGGCTATAGGCTTTTCAGGGACCATCAGGCTGAGGGTTCTGAAGCCTGGCTACACACTGGAATTATCCAAGGAGCTTTAAAAAGTTTGCATTCCAGGTCCCAACCTCAGGGACTGTGATTTGACTGGGTTGAGGCCTGAGGACCTGCCTGTGTTTTGCCGGCAGCGCTGCATTTGGATTTGCACTTGGAGACCCCTGACCCACCCACCTCCTTAATTTATAAAGCAGAACTGGGCCCAGGGTAAAAAAAGTACCCGTCACCTGGGGCATTTATTTTAGTTATGTAACTTAAGTTCTCCTTTAGTCACAACCCATCGGATACTGATGCAGAGCCGAGGGTGACCCCACGTCCTTCCCTGACAGGCACTCCTCCCTCCTGCAGCCGGGCGGGGAGAGAGTGAGAGCAAGAAGAATTATGCCAGGCTCTACACCTCTATTACTTCATCTCTACCCTTGAAGCCGATATTATGAATCCCGTTTTACAGATGAGAAAACCTAGCTCAGAGGGGCTGAGTCATTTGGTCCAGGACACACAGCTGATGAAATGACAGTTCTAGGATTTGAATCCAGGTGGTCCCTTCCTTGGATCGTGCTTAAACACACCAAGGGACTTCTAGCACTGGTCTAGTCTGGAGTCTGTTACAGCCAATAGCCCAGCCTTCTCCCCATCACCCAGGTGGCCCAACCTTCCCCCTAGAGTTCATTTCCAATGCTGCTTTTGTCTAGTTTTTAGTTGACTTTTCATTGTTCAGTGTCCTCTGGTGTGTTCTCTTGCTCTTTCACGGTTGTTCAGTGTTTCATGTTTGTGCCCTTTGGCTGTATGCTGTGGACGGGTGTAACCAGTCCTCGGGATGGGGGGCAAGGGCCTCGCACATGCTGGGTCCCAGTAGACAGTCTGACTACAGCAGGTGAGTGATGAATGAATGTCTTGAAGCATGGCTGCAGGCCCTGAGGCTCTCTAAGTTAATATCTCTGCAATAAAAGCATCTGCCCAGGCTCACAGATCAGGAGTAGCAATGGGTCTGAGGGTGTGAGGAAAAGAAAGAGGCTGGTGTGGCCCTACAAGCCCAGCAGATGGTGAGATAAGGCCAAAAAGATGGGCTGAGGCCAGTCAACCAGGGCACTGGAGGGCGAGGGAAGGTATTTGGATTTTGTTGTAAGAAATGAGAAGCCACTGAAAATGTCGCACAAGGAGTGTCGGTGCCATGCTGTGCCGTGTCCTGCACTGCTAGCCTGACAGCCCCTGAAGGGCCAGAGTCCCGTGCTGTTCATTGGGAAACTCCAGGGCTTGGCGCTGAGTGAGGTGCAGAGGTGTTTAATTTATGTTTATTTGTTTATTTCTGTTTGCCATTTTGTACCAGTCAATAAAAGCATTAAAGGCAACTCAGAGTGAAATTAGGATTAAAATTCTACAGGTATATCTTTCTGCTCCAGTAAACTCATTCATCTACAGCAACTATCTCGAAATTCACAGAAAGATCCAGAGAAAAATCCAGAGAAAGCTGAACTGAGGATTATCTTTGTACAATAAAAAATATTTTGCTGAATTAACTAATAGTGTGAACAAGAATGGGGGAGAAAACTTAAATTCTACAGGCAAACTGCTCAAAATATTAGTAATGCCAATTTAAACACAAACAATTGATACCTGAATGCCTACCATTTGTTTAACAATACTCCACAATTCAGGAAGCTTCCCACCCATACCCACAAAAAATCAGTTTAAATTACTAATACTTAACTGTATTTGAATGCCTAAATTAATTTTTACCAGTGCTCTCTTTATGGGTCCATATTTGGAGGTTATCGTGATCGACAACAAATCAGCCACCAACTCCACAGGTGCGCCCACACACATCAAAACCAGTTCTAGGTTTTAGCTGATGTTGAGTCTCATGCAGCCTTTTTACCTTGGGCCATGTTCATCGTTCACCTTTCTGCAGGTTTCCAGACCAAAAAGCATTCACCTGGTGCTGTTGGTAGAGGCAGATTCACACCCCTAACTTGTGGCATGAACTCCATTTCTGCAAAACAACATACAAGGGGAAAAAATTGACCTCTAAAAACACTAGTCTTTTATATATCAAGTCTTTAGAATATTCATTACTTCAACCTGGTAATTCAATCTCTGGGAAATGCGCCGAAGGACTCATCTAAATAAGCAGCTGGGTGTAGTGAGAAAGCCCACAGTGCTCCTTCTCTCAGAAAAGCCCCGGAAGCACCGTAATACAGAGTGCTGGGACGGGTGAGCAAAGTACTGGACAACTCTGTGATGTACCATCGTGTGGCCACTAGGAAGAAGCTCCCAACGTGGTTATGGTAATCTGAGAAATGTTTCTAGTTGTTACTTCACCACGTTTCAGACACCTGCTAGACATGCCACTATATCACAGGTCACGAAGGAAGAGAAAGTACCCAGTGCGGGTTATCTAACACCAGGCATTTAAGCTGGGACCCCAAAGGGCTGGCCATTCCCTCCATGTAAGGTGAATGACAAGCAGCCATCAAGCAACCATCATGTCCCATCCTTGGCCCATGCAGGGCAGAAACAAAACCACCCAACAAATCTGTACTCACAGAGGCTGGAGTCTGAATTTACACTACAGATGTGTTCTCAAAATACCTCAAGTAAGTGCTATAACTGAATTTATTATTATTATTTTTAATCCTCACCCACAATTACATTTATTGATTTGTAGAGAGAGAAAGGAAGGAAGGGAGAGAGAGAGAGAAACATCAATCAGTTGCCTCCTGCATGCACTGACTGGGAATCTAACCTGTAATTTAGGCATGTGCCCTGACCAGAAATTGAACCCATAACAGTTTGGTTGTATAGGATGACGCTCCAACTTAGTGAGCCATCCATCCAGGGCTGAATTTAATTTAAATTTAATGTAAAGTCTTCTCAAGGTAGCAATATCCCAGGTGACCATCAGAAGCAGACAGGAACCTTCTTTGAAAGAGCTGAGTTTCAAAACAAGCTGGCAGCACCTGTGAAACACTAGTCATGCAGTGCAAGATCTAAAGATGTGAAAATAAGCAAATCTTAGGATTAATGTTAAGCAAAAAAAAACCAGAATAAAATATGTGGGCAATGACATGTCTTTACAGAGGCGATCAACTGGAAGAAACTACATTAAAATGTTAACAGTGATTTTCTGTAGGTGGTAAGACTAAAGATTTAATTTTTCTTTAAATGACTGCATTTACCAGATTTTCCTATAGTGAGCATGTATTTAATGGCCCTCTAAGAAACAGGGGAAATAAAATAGGGTGACATAAATAGGAACAGGGACAACTTTAGGTGAGGTGATCAAGGAAGGCATCTTGGAGGAGGTGACACTGGACCTCAGAAGGGACCAGCATGGGAGAAGCTATAAGAACTGTTCACTGCTGACAGCTGGGCCTAGGTCAGAGGGCAGATAATTGACACACATTTGCTAAATGAATAGTTGAGTTAAGGAAAAGCTGCTAAATCTCAAGGGGTCCCAACCAGAGTCTGGCTCTTCAGGGGGGCTATTTTCACTGCAGTGAGCTGGGGAACAGGGCCAGGTACCAGATAAACCAAGAGCAGGGCTCAGCTGAACATGTGTGCAGTTGTGAGTTTAGCAGAAAGCATGGCCACAGTATTAGTCCTCGTTTCATCTATTTTCCCCATTGGCGAGGTTAGTGCCTTTGTCGCCACACTCCCTCAAAGTTAGCTTCAGAATTCAGTGCTGTGAAATATGGGGCCCAGTGCAGCACGAATGGCTGGTGTGCTCTAGGTCTCCTTTCAAGCCCAGCAACACCTCCCTGCAAACCCGAGCTCTACTGCCTTTAGACAGGCTGTCCTGTCTCCAGAAACTGACCTTGCTCCACTGCTTACCATGAGAGAAAGATGCCACATCAGCTCCAACCTTTCTACCGGCCTGTGATTTTCTGGATAAGTTTACTACTAATGAGCCTGTGCCAGAACCTGCAGATGCAGAAATGAAAGAGAAGGCCCTTTCCTTGGCACAGCCGCCATGTGCCTGGCACAGCCAGAGTAGCAAACAGAGGATCACGACCCCTGAGAGAAGACAGGCTTCCTGAAAGAAGGGATGCCTGATCTACTGCCAACACAGTAACAACAGCCGCCAGCAGAACAATTGTGCATATTCTGGGTTTTCATATATTGTTTCATTTCACCCTCACAGTTGTGAGATTATCTCCATCTCACAGAGGGAACTTGAGGCTCTGTGCTTGCCAAGGTCACAGAGCTTGTAGATAGCATTCACTTGCACCTGGGCCTCGAGGACTTGGGAGACCTTGACCCTGAGCACAGTACCACACTGAGGAGTCGGGGGCATGGAGGCAAGAAGAGTGGGAAGGAGGCTACTGCAGGCAGAGGCAAGAGCCCGCTGCATTTATGGACTAGGGACCAAGAGTGACAGTGGGGGCTAAGGCTGACAGAGGGCCAGGAGAGCTGGGCTTCCTTGTGAAGAAGCTCATGGAAACAAACTGGCAACGAGGTGTAGAAGGGAAGATGTTCCTGGGCTTTCTTTTTCTTTTTTTTAATACTCACCCAGGTATGTTCTTATTGATTTTAGAGAGGCAGGGAGAGAGAAACATTGATGGGCTGCCTCCTGTATGTGTCCCAGCTGGGGCTCAAACCCACATTTTAGTGCACAGGACAACACTCCAAGTCACCCAACCAGGGCTCCCCAGGCTTTCTATACAGGTCATCCCCTTGCCCATGCTGTGCACTTACAGGACATTCAGCAAGGCAATCCGGTCTCCAGGGCCAGGGGACCATGACTGAATCCTGACTCCAGCCCAGGTTCCAGCTGCTCAGGAGAGCACCAGGATGTCACCAAGGGCAACCAGGGAACCCAGCGTTATCACCTTGGTCTGTGTGGAGGGCACTTGGCAAGTGCTCCTTCTGGAAAGCTGGGTTTTCCCAGAGAAGTGGCCCCCCCTGAAGCAGGCCGTCTCCAAGCTCAGGGTAGGGAGAACTGTGCGGGGCCTAACAGCAGCTGCTGAGCAGAATGCTAATACTACCCCGGCATTCCCACCCACCTCCCCAGGTTACTCAGTCCAACACTAACAGAGGTACTGCTGTGAGGGGACTTTGCAGATGGGATGGCGGTTACTAACAAGCTGACCTGAAAATAGATTAGCTTGGATTATCTGTCTGGGCCCAAGTACTCACATGAGCCCTTAAAAACAGAAAACACAGGAGACGCAGCCGAAGGGTCGGCTTGAGTGGTTCAAAAGCATGAGGGCTCGATCCATCACTGTGGCTTTCCAGAGGGCCAGGAAACGTGCGTGGCCGAGACTGACCCTCAGCTGATAGCAGGGAAGTGGGAAGCTCGGACCTACAACTCCAAAGAACTGAGACTCAAGCTGAGAACCAGCTGAACGACCCTGTGCTCAGACTCTCAGACTTACACAGACTGCAAGGTAATAAGTGGGCATTGTTTTTGTGGCAATTTGTCACAGCATTGATTGGAAACTGATAACTAATTCGTGAGCAGACAGATCACCCTGGCCATTGTGTGGATGATACAGGGCCTGGGATGCTGGCAGTGAGCAGACTGACTGATTCCACACTGTTCAGAGTGAGGAAGGAAGCGAACCACTGGATCTAGGATCTGGAACAGAAGTACCACAGGCATTATTAGGGTCACATGAACTCACACATTTCCTCTAGCAACATTTCTCAAGCACTTGCTATGATGAGTTCTGGTTGGATGTGTAGAACTCAAGTCTCAGAGGGAGAAAGATGGCCAAACAGACTCAACCCAGTGGAATGAGTCCCATGGGAGGTCAGTGAAGGGTCACCAGTCCACCAGATGTTGAGCAGGTTTCCCAGAGCCTGAGGCCCTGTCTTGGGTCTTGGTGGTCCAGGAAGGAGAGAGGCTAGGTAGAGACAGGCTACTCTGGAACAAACAGCAGCACCGTGCCTAGAACATTCAGAGGAAGGTTAGCAGACTGGCAGGAAAGGGACTTAGTCAGCAGGTGGACAAGGGCCAGCTTAGAAGAACCTCCTACGTTAGAAAGGGAAGTTGGGACTGAGGATGCTAAGCACTAGGGAGACATCCCAGAAGCCCATGCTCCTTGACCCTGGATACAGGCAGACCTGTGCTGGTGGATTGAAGCACCGACACCCCTACAACCCCTCTGTAACTGTGGTTTGTGTACAGCCTCGTGGGCAGCTGTGTCCGCACCTGGTACATAGTAAACAGTCCATGTGAACTTTAAAAGTAAATATAAAGACAAAGGCAGACCTCTGAGAGACTGACCACACCAGGGACAACAAAGAAGAGTGTCCAATGTACAGAACCGGGTCCAGCCTGTGGGCACGGGAAAACCAGCTGAGGAAATGGCAGACAGAAGGCCCTCTCTACCTATGGCTTTGGCACAAACCCAGAAGCCGGCTCTGACCTCCCTCAGGGGTAGGGCAGCAGGGGTAGATCACATTGTGACAGGCCACCTCACAACCCCCCTTCCTGGATGAAGATAACCAGGCATTGGTTTTAAATAGAAATCTTGGAATGAGAAAACACACCCTAAACCCCTGTCTGGCACAAAGCTGGCAGCAGAGGCCCTGAGGTTGTTTGACAGCAGAAAGGAGACTTGGGAGGATTTGTGACTGTTCCAACAGAGGACCTGGCTCTGCAGCAGCTTTCCCACGGAGCTGTAGCAGGTCCCCACCCTCCTCGGGCTTTACTTTGCCCAGTGTGGTCATATTCATTGCTCCCACTTCTGGAAATACAAAAGTGCTTTCTGTGCATTGATTCCTCTCAGCCTCAGAACAATCCTATGTCCTTTTATTAACTGTTTTCATAGTTGGGCTGAACACAGGAGTTTTTAATTTTAAATTATTTTTAGTTGGCAAATCCCTACTTGAAATAGTAAAAGAAAAATCCATATACAAAACAGACTACGGCAACTCTGGAGCAGCAGAGGGAGGAAGGCTAGAGCCTCACTTGGCTGACATTCTCCCTACGATGACTCCCAAGGGGTTCTTTGGAACCAGGGGCCCTTAAGACACGTCCACAAGATCTTAACCCTGAGGACTGGCAGGGCTCACTGAGCTGGAAGTCCCTTCCCCAGGACTACCCAACTGCCCCAAGCTAAGGTGGAAGACAATGAAGTTGTGGGGAGATCCATGAGGGCTTGGACTGTCCACCCCACATCACACTACCTGCACATCTTGCTGACGCTGGCCAAGGGAAAGCCAGCTCCTGAATCTAGACCAAGACCCCCATTTCTATCTCAGGAAGCCCTTCCTCGTTACCCCAAAGAGCCCCTGACACCAGATGTGTTCCTCTGATGGCCTCCCCCATCTGAGGCCATTACTGTTGGCATTCAACACCTACTGCAAGGAATGGGACTACATGGGACAAGTCAAGGCTGAAAGGCAGTAAGGAGAGCAGCCAGGGCTGCCCTGAGCAGGGGAGGAGTGGAGAAGAGAGGGGGTAGTTCTCCAGGGCCTGCCCTGCTGGCCAGAGTGGTGGTGCTCCACATCACAGACCTGCAGCAGCACTGTTGGCCCTTGGAAACCCCTCAGGCCAGCCCCTAATTTAACTGCCCAGCAATCGAGACCAAGACAGAAGTGGGCGAATTTGCTCAGGTTTCTCAGGTGGTTGAGTGACAAGACCTGGACTAGAACCCAAATTTCTTAACCTCTGGTCCAGTGCCCTCTTTCCAACTTTGTTCTGCTAAAATCACACTGCGGCAGGACCAAATAAGCCAAAACGAGGATTAAGGGCATAAAGTCAAAAGCCCTGAATCTGAGTCCTAATCTGCTGGGTGACCTGGGGGCAGAAAGGACCTGCTGCTCTTTCGATATAGTTCTCAACTGCTCCCCCAAACTTTACCTAGTGCCCCTTCGGGGTCTAAACACCGTCCCCCTCAACACCCACTGCCACCTCTGAGGTGAAAGGGGCTGGTATAAGTCGAGCTGCTGCCCAGGCGCTCTGCCTAAGCCATTTCATAGGCAGCATGAGCGGTCAGCTGACCCACCAAACGCAGTCCAGCCCTGGGAGCCATCTATCGCAGGCAAAGCCCCTCACCTTCCCCCTTGCATTGATTCCCCACTCTAGCCTCCCTTCTTGGCTCAGGGACAAACCCACCACCTGACTTGCACACACCTTCGGTACACCGCCCTATGCATTCCTGGTTACTCGCACCCACTGCCTCGCTCACAAACTCCCACACTCTTCCCACCAGCGAGTGAAGATTCGTGCCCACGCTGCTCCCTTCCGCAAAACCGGCGTAAGAGCCCCACCACGAGACACTGAACCCCGAGGTCTGCAGCGGCAACGGGCCGGGCAACCGAGGAGGGCCGTGCCCCCGCCAGCTTCCGGTCCTTCTCGGCCCCGCCCCCGCCTGGGCCCCGCCCCCAGGACGGCGGGGAGGATGTGAGCTCACTCCCGGCCCGGTGCTCGCGGCGCGGCCAGGAAGCGTCCGCGGGAGTCGTAACCCGCTCGCTGCCAACAGGCCGGCGGGGTAGTCAGCAGCGCGCCACGCCCCGAGCCGAAGCCGACCGGCCCGGTTCCTCCCAGCACTCCGCGCAGTAACGGCCTCCAAAGTAGGTATGGAGTGAAGGCGGACGGCAGCAGGGCAGAAGCGGCGACCCACTCTCCGGGCGCCGTCCGCGTCCCGAGGGTAGCTGGGACGGTGAGGGCGTGCATGCCGCGCCCCACTGCGCTTCCTGCCGGTCCGCGTGACCGCGTGCGCACGTGCTTCAGCTTCTCAGCCCCGCGGGCAGAAAATTCGGCCTGGCTACCCTCTGCTGCTGCCCACCTGGAGGCGAGGCGGGGAAAGCGGCGGGCCTGGGAAGCGTTGGAGCCTCACCGCCCGTCAATCAGGGCGGAGTAGCTCGCCCTGGTGGGCAAGCAGCGGCTTTGCCATGAACCCCAGGGGCCTGTTCCAAGACTTCAACCCGAGTAAGTTCCTCATCTACGCCTGCCTCCTCCTCTTCTCCGTGCTGCTGCCCCTCCGCCTAGATGGCATCATCCAGTGGAGCTACTGGGCTGTCTTCGCTCCCATATGGTTGTGGAAGCTTCTTGTCATCGCAGGTGCCTCGGTGGGTGCGGGCGTTTGGGCCCGAAACCCTCGCTACCGCACTGAGGGGGAGACTTGCGTGGAGTTCAAAGCTATGTTGATCGCTGTGGGCATCCATTTGCTGCTGCTCATGTTCGAAGTCCTGGTCTGCGACAGGGTGGAGAGAGGGACCCACTTCTGGTTGCTGGTCTTCATGCCACTCTTCTTCGTATCCCCCGTGTCCGTGGCTGCCTGCGTGTGGGGATTTCGACATGATAGGTCACTTGAGCTGGAGATACTGTGCTCTGTCAACATCTTGCAGTTCATCTTCATTGCTCTAAGGCTGGACAGGATTATCCACTGGCCGTGGTTGGTGGTGTTCGTGCCCCTCTGGATCCTCATGTCCTTCCTCTGCCTCGTCGTCCTCTATTACATTGTCTGGTCCCTCCTGTTCCTTAGATCTCTGGATGTTGTGGCCGAACAGCGGAGAACGCACATGACCATGGCCATCAGCTGGATCACTATTGTTGTGCCCCTGCTCACTTTTGAGGTTCTGCTGGTTCATAGATTGGATGGCCACAATACCTTTTCTTACATCTCCATATTTGTCCCTCTTTGGCTTTCATTGATAACTTTAATGGCCACTACATTTAGGCGAAAAGGGGGCAACCATTGGTGGTTCGGTATTCGCAGAGATTTCTGTCAGTTTCTGCTTGAAATTTTCCCATTTTTAAGAGAATATGGGAACATTTCATATGATCTACATCATGAAGATAGTGAAGATGCTGAAGAAACATCCATTCCAGATGCTCCTAAAATTGCTCCAATGTTTGGAAAGAAGGCCAGGGTAGTTATAACTCAGAGCCCAGGAAAATATGTTCCCCCACCACCCAAGTTAAATATTGATATGCCAGATTAAACTCGACTTCGAGAGTGCCCATAAGTGTTTAGAAATCAGACACACATGACCGAAACCCACCTTACTTTTGCCTTTTTTAAAAATCCATCCCAAACCTAAAACTGAAAACAGGTTCCAAACACCGTCATCTCCTGCCTTGGAGTTTGATGCCTAACGGTGACTCATCAGTATTCGCCATAGACATAGAGGGTTATATGAATATATAGTGACGTGTGAGAGAATTTGCTGTCCAGGTGGGTGCTTAAAGAGCTAGCTGGGAGCAGTAGTTTGAATTGTTTTGAGTAGTAGGTCCTGAAATGGAATAACTATACAGCTAGGATTTTGGTTTCTTTTAAAGGGGTACTACAACTTATCAAAAGTTGTTATAAAAATATTTTTATACACTGCTAGACTAAAATTGTATTTCAGATTGTGCCTGTTGTGACATAATTGATAGCAAATGTAAAGAATTCTCTCTTCATTTCTTGTTTATAAACCTCATAGTTGTTATTTTTAGTGTTCCTACTGTTAAGTTTTTTTGGTCTTTACTGATACTGGTGTTTGATAGCCTAATAGAATTTTTCTAATGCGGTGAATTCATACATATATGATATTTATATAAATATTTTAGTAATGTAATATATTATGTTGAATTATAGTTCTATACAGTACAATATATTATGTTGAAGTGTTTTTTAAGTTTACATGTGAAGATATATGTCTATTGCAGATGTTCTTAAAGGTCGCTTAAACCATTCATGTGTATCCAGTGTAGGGTCTGTCATAGTACTAGGCATGAATATAGGGATTGAAAATCCCAAGGATCTTAACAGTCAGGTGTGAGATGACTCAGTCTGCCCAGTTTTAAGTTTCCTCGTAGGAGAAGAGAGACCATCATCTTTTGGGAACAGAGGACATGCTCCCGTGTAGTGCCAGGCTCTAAAGTGACACCGAATCAGCACCTGGAATTTTCACACACAGGTGGTAACATCTGTTCAGAGACAACTGAAGTGAGCAACACATGGTGTGGCATTTCTAAGGATTTACAGTATTAATTGTCTATAATGTAAAGTGTTACTTGTTATTGGACAACTTGAGATAGTGGCCTTAACCAGACATGGCCAGCGGGGTCAGGTATTATTTTAAGGTCCAAACTTTTTGAACTGTCAGCAACAGGAAAATAATAGTTTGAGGTTTTTGTTTGTTTTTGTTTTCTGGGGGCTGTGTGTGTGTGTGTAGTAAGTTTAGTGTTTCTGTAAGTACTGGTGATACCCAGGGAGTCAGAAAGTCAAAAACCAGATCCTGGGAGAGTAATGTTCTTCTGACTGAGAACAAATAAATACTTTCAAAAGGCGATTAAAATAAAAAGATATATTGGTACTATTATGGGGAAGAAGCCTGAAGAGAATTCATTTTTATTAGCAACCTAGTAAAAATGATCTAAATTGAGCTCCATATGAATTATGTAAATAAGTTACTGGGTGAGGGGGCATGCTAGCAACAAAGTCTAGCAATAATAGTCAACCGTGGGAACCTGGGTACCTGAAAGCCTGAGGGTGCTGCAGCTCAGTGTACTCGGCTAGGACTGAGCCAAGGGCACATACGTGCACACACTGTCAGTTTACACCAGCTGTCAGAATGTGGGAAGTAGGCCTGAACTGCAGTGGATATAACATTTTGTAAGCAAAGATTCATTCATTTATTTTCTCAAATATTTGTTGAGAACCTACCTACTCTGAGCCAGACATAGTACTAGGAAGTGCAGGTACATTGGAGAGCAATGAGAATGTGGCTGCCCACATGCACAAAGTATACGGTTAAAAGTGGCAAGAAGATAGGGCCGATCACAGCTGTCTACCTGTGGAAGGTAAGCCATGAGCAGGATATGCGAAATGCATGGAAGGATGCTACTGCCTTGGGGTGACCTTCAGACCCATCTTTGTTTCCAGGAGCCCAGGATCCCTGATCACCCCTCCATCCACAAATCATATCTCAGACATGGACTTACTCTTCAGTAAGGTTTAGGAGTAGAAGAGGAGGTTGCTGGAGCAATCAGTGGGCAGATTTGGGAGCAGCATGGAATTACCAGTACCTCCTGGCCAGTGTTGTGCTAGAGGCTTACTGGGCCTGCAACACTCTCCTAACCTGACCTGCCTTACCCCCTCTACCCCAAAGTGACCTACTGTTTGAGAGCCCACGGTTGAATGTAATTACAAGCTTTCTTACTCAGGTAGGTCATCCCTTGTCAGACCCCTTTCCTGTCTCAAGAAAGTTATTCAGTCTGCAAATTAGTGCAGTTTCAGCTGTGCCTGGGCATCTACCTGATTGCCAAGCATCTCTGACTGTTCACAGTATTTAGCGTGTGTCAATTCTGTGACTAGTTTTTCCTATATGATGCTGTATTAGTCATATTTTGCTGCAAGATAACCTCAAAAATCTTAGTGGCCCACCATTACAAACTCTCGCTCCTGGGTCTACAAGTTGGCTGCAGCAGTTACACTACAGGCAGTACATCTGTAGTGTAAACTACAGCATCCCTATTCTATTCTGAGTTCCCAGTGAAGGAGTAGCACTCCCTGCAGCTTGTTCTTTCTCATAGCAGAAGCACAGATATAGCCCCTGCTCACATGTGATATGTGTTGAGTGTACTTGTTCTCTTGGCCAAAGCACAAGGCCAAGTCCAACCGTAGTGGGGTGGGCCAGTATCTACCCAAGGAACAGTAGTAGTACAGTTTGCGCAGGCATCATGAGGTCATTTTAAAGACAGGAAAGGAATCACAAAGTTTGTGGTAGGTCATGAATGATTTTTCCTTTCTGTTTTACAAACATTCTGTAATTGTTGGAAGTTAATTGTTAATTACTGTAATCATTAGAAGGGCAGGGGATAGGAAATTTGAGGCAAGGTGAGGAAGACTGCATTCAAACCCCTTGTAGACTGAAAAGGCACAGGTGCCGTACAGGAGAGTTTTGTGACAGTACCATCCCCAGGGCTGCAGGATGCCTTGGAAAGGTCAAGCCTGGGCACAGGCAGACCAGCAGGGCAGGAGGCCCTGGGACTCGAGGAAGAAGCAGTCTAGACAGGCCTGGCAGCACACTAGATGAGGGAGGCAGGCCTTTCCAGCCAGCCCTCCTCAGCAGTCAGCCAGCCCTCCACATGACATGCCCACCTTAGTAAACTGTCGGGAAGGTAGAGGTGGCTTACAGCCTGACAGGAAGGCTGGGCTCTAGGTCAGCGAGCACACGGGGATTGAGAGTTGTGCAGCCAGAAACCCGGGTAAGGTTGAACCTCGGGGACCACTGGTGGGGATGCTGCGGCTGGTGCCCCACCACTGGCCATATGACACTGCCACCTAAATAATGCCACCAGTGTCACCCCCTCCTGCCACAGTTACTCCTCATTTGTGTCTGCCATGTGAGCGCAAGATTAAAATACTACCAGGAAGGAGGATGTGATTAGGACACCTCAGGAATGCATTCATTCTGTAGCTCCTGGAACAGAAGGAGAGATTGTCCGGCTGCTTTAGCTCAAGGAGGAGGCAGACTCTTCCAGAACACACTCAGTGGGGGATTTGCCCAAAAAGAAAGGGTGTCCAGATGCTGGGTAACCAAAGAAAATGACAAAGGTGTGTTACACCGAGTCCCTTGGCTGCCTGACACACATCCTTCCCCTATTTCACATCCCAAATCCTCTCTCATCTAGCATGCAGCGACTGACCTCACCATTGAACTGTGGCTTGCCCTTCCAAAAGGGAGAAGGGAGTGTCAGGAGCTGATTCATCAATCACTTCATCCAACTCTTAATCTAGGACATTTGGAGTTGTCTCTTCCTCTTTGTGGTTCTCTCCATATATTCTACAATGTGTGGCTTAAAGCCGACCACTACAGCATCCCTCCACGGTGTGGTCCACAAACCCCTGGAGTCCTCCAAGTCCATCCCCAGCTACACTTCTGACAGAAGCCAGCTCTCTTGGTCGTCTTTAACCACGACCACATACTGCAGCAGACGGAGTGCACAAGCAGACAAGAGAATGCACCCGCTGTCTATTAAGCCAGACATTAAAGCTTTGCACAGACGTAAAACCGATGCCACTCTTCTACTCACCAATTTCTTTTATATTTGGAAAATATGGTTATTTTTAATTGTATAAAAAGTGAATATGTAATGATTTATGGGTTTTTAAATGAATTAATACATTTTTTAATGCTATTGGGTTTAATTTCTGCCATGGTAAATGTTGCTATAACTTATGTAAACAGAAGGTCATTGAGGTCCTCGGCAATTTTTATGAGTGTTGAAGGGCTCCTGCTGCCCTGTATTAAAGTGGGGAAAAGAGAGAGGAAAGGAAATGAAAATGGGGTGAAATATATTAAAATCCATATGACATACCAGGGGAGAAGAAAATAAGAGACCACCATCCTTTCTGCAAGAGATCAGAGAATGGTTTTGTCCTCAGAGAAGGTGACACTCCATTGTCCTCCACCAGCACCTTTGCTGGGTGGGTTATTTCACTCAGTGGTGTAACTCATACCTTCTTTCCTGGGGCCAGGAGCTTTTCGCTGGTCCCGCTGGTATGTCTCACTTGATTTCACCTAGAACTAAGAGGAGCCCTAGGGCCTCCTGGATTCTGGCCTTGAGCCTCCCTCCATTTTGTGGCAGCAACACTATTTTCCCTAGACAGTCCTTTGAAAAGGATGGTGGTGCTGGCTGGGTGATTGACCCTGACTACCAAGAGGAAATAGGGATAGAGAGTCACTCCCCCCCAGGGAGTGACTGTCACAGGCCACCCTCTGTATTTTCAGGATGTCCTGTCCTGTTTGCTAAATAGTTTCGCAAAAGGGCAGAGCAGGGGAAGGGAAGTGGTTTTGAAACTTCTTTCCATAACAGCAGCTCAGAGTTCTCTTGTCAGCCCCAGCGTGTATCACTGTCCTCTCGCTCTGCACCCAGCCACAGCCAGACACTCAGGGGGCTTGGGCCTCCTTCTTGGGACATAGCAACACTCATGCAGAATCTGAGGTCACATGGGCCCTCATGTCCTTTGTCCCACCCCAAGCCGTTGCTGGTCCCGTTAAAGCCTTGTCACAGGAGCCTGCCCTCCTGGTCGAGTGCCAGCCCTTACCCCCCAGAATCACCAGCCCACCTCAGGCCTCCCCTCAGCCTGAGCAGCTCTCTAGGGTCATACATGGCTGAAGTCCCTCCCCTCTTGGCCACTCTGGCATTTCAACCTGGTCTTAGTAGGCTTTAACTGAAGGTAGCGAGTAGTGTGGGAAGTTCAAAGACTCAAGGGAAACCTTTCCAGGAAGCCAGTTCCCCATCCCTGCCCCACCCATCTCAATCCCCTCCCCTGCCACACACACACACACACACACACACACACACACACACACACACACACACACACACACACACACACACACACACGCTAGATAACCAACCACCAGTGAAAACAAGGCCTAGTTCCTCCTTTTTGTGGCAATAGCCCCGGTCCTGGGCTGATACCCAGACAGGGCTGCCCTGACCTGTCACCCCAAAACCTGACCTCCCCCTTTCCAGCAAGTTTAATGACAGGACTGTCTGGTTGTGGGGTGGTGTTGTTCTGGTTGTTAAATACTTTGAACATTATTTAAGGTCCTTTCTCTACTCAAGGCTTGCTTGCCCTTCTCTCCATTCCAACTCTG